CTCAAACGAAAATCAGATGCTATTACAGCCTTTAATAACTTTTCTCAATATGTTCTGAACCAGTTTTCTACCTCAATAAAGTCCATTCAATCTGACTGGGGTGGTGAATTTAGGTCTTTCACTAAACTTCTCACTGAAAAAGGCATTATACACAGAGTTATTTGTCCTCATACACACCATCAAAATGGTGTTGTAGAAAGAAAACATTGTACCATTGTTGAAAAGGGCCTTTCTCTTCTGTCCCACTCCTCCTTGCCTCTTAAATTCTGGGATGCAGCTTTTGCTACATCTGTTCATCTGATAAATAGAACACCATCCAAGTCAATCTCTAATTCCAGTCCATACTTCAAACTGCATAAATCTGTTCCAGATTATACCTTTCTCAAGGTTTTTGGATGTGCCTGCTACCCTTTCACCAGACCCTATCATAAACACAAACTGGACTTTCACACTGAAGAGTGTGTTTTCATGGGCTATTCACCTAGTCACAAAGGCTATAAATGCTTATCATCCTCAGGGAAAATTTACATCTCCAGAGATGTTATTTTTCAAGAAACCAAATTTCCTTATCCTACTTTGTTCAAACCTACTTCATATGCCTCTTCTTCTAACCTCCATCTGGATCATCCTTCTGCACCTATTAGTGTTCAGACCTTCATTCACCCTCCCAGCACCCCTGAATCTGAATCCTCAAGTGCTGACTCTGTATCTTCTCAAAACCACCCTTCAAACACATCTCATGAACACCATCCATCTCTCTCTAATAATACTCAAAGTCAATCTTCCTCTCATGAATCACAATCCTCATCTCATGAATATCCTCCAAACACATCTCATCAATCACACTCCTCACCTAGCCCTCATTCTTTTTCATCTGATTCTTTTCACCAAACTACTCCACCTCCTTCAGTTCCTATCATCGATACTCATCCCATGAGGACAAGGGCAAAGTCAGGCATAGTAAAACCAAGACTTCATCCTACCTTACTGTTGGCTCATATTGAGCCTAAATCAGTTAAACAGGCTCTCTCTTCTCCACAGTGGTTTGAAGCCATGAAGACTGAATATAATGCTTTGATTGCTAATAAAACCTGGACTCTTGTTTCTCTTCCACCAGATAAGCATGCTATTGGATGCAAGTGGATTTACAGAGTCAAAAAAAACCCTGATGGTTCTCTAAACAAGTTCAAAGCCAGATTGGTGGCTAAAGGCTTTCATCAAAAGTTTGGTTTTGATTTTGGGGAAACATTTTCTCCAGTTGTGAAGCCTATCACTATCAGAATCTTGCTTACCATTGTTATTTCACACAATTGGTCCATCCAGCAGTTAGATGTTAACAATGCTTTCTTGAATGGTGAACTAGATGAGGAAGTGTACATGGTTCAACCTCCAGGTTTTGAAGTTCAAGATACGTCTCTGGTTTGTAAACTTCACAAATCACTATATGGCCTAAAGCAAGCTCCTAGAGCTTGGTTTCAAAAACTAACCTCAGTTCTTTATGTTGCTGGTTTTAAACAAAGCAAATCTGATCCTTCCCTACTCATCTATCTATCCTCTACAGTCCAAATTTACATTCTTATCTATGTTGATGATATCTTGGTCACTGGGAACAATTCAGCAGCCATAACTCAACTCATTCACAAACTCCATTCCTCATTTTCTCTAAAACACTTGGGAGAGCTTGATTTCTTTCTTGGAATAGAGGCACACAAGCTCCCAGATGGCAGTCTTCACCTATCACAGGCTAAGTACATCAGAGATGTTCTAAATCAAGCTGGCATGCTTGAATCTAAGGGAGTTATGACACCTATGGTGAGCACTTGCAAACTGCAGAAACAAGGCAGTGATTACTACTCAAATCCTTCCCAATATAGATCCATTGTTGGAATGTTACAGTATGCAACTTTGACTAGGCCAGATATCTGCTATGCTGTCAACAAAGTGTGCCAATTCATGGCAGAACCACTGCAGGAGCACTGGAATGCAGTGAAACACATTCTCAGATATCTCTCTGGAAGTGTAAATCATGGAATTGTTATCAGACCTATTTCCTTGTCTTCTATACCTCTACCAATATCAGCCTACTGTGATGCTGACTGGGCATCTGATCCCAATGACAGAAAGTCTACTTCTGGCTCATGCATACTTCTTGGAACCAACATTATTTCCTGGTGGTCAAGAAAACAACTTAGGGTTGCAAGATCTTCAGCAGAAGCAGAGTATAGGAGTCTGGCAGACACCACTGCAGAACTCTTATGGATCCAATTTCTATTAAAAGAACTTCAAGTCCCCTTTTCTACTCCCAGAGTATACTGTGATAACCTCAGTGCTGTTCAACTGGCTCACAATACTGTTTTGCATTCCAGGATCAAGCACATGGAAATTGATCTTTTCTTTGTGAGAGAAAAAGTTCTGCTCAAGCAACTTCAAGTTTATCATATTCCCTCTCTTCATCAGATTGCAAACATACTGACCAAGCCACTCTCCAGTTCCAGATTTCTTGATTTAAAAACAAAACTTAGTGTGATTGAGTTGTCAAACCTATCACCCTAATTTTGAGGGGGGAATGTTAGATACATATCATGTAATAGACTAGAAAAATCATCTTAAACAGTATACTAGATGGGGACCCGGTTGTTATGAAGTCAGTTAGATTTATAACCAATTGTATAAATACTTGTACTTAGTTCATTGTTGAAATCAATCTGAAATAGTATCATCTCTTATCTTCTTCCTCTTCTATTAGTCAGTATAATATAATTTTAATTTTTAATAATTTTTTACATCTATGTAATAAAAATATTATTTTAATGATTTGCAACTAGATCGTGCTAAAGTTTTATTTATGCAAGAATCAAAAATATTCTAAAGGTTTTAAGTTTGACCATGTCTGGGATATGTTTAAGAATTTTGAAAAATTTAAAGATAGCGTGTCAACTGCAAGACATGCTGCTCTACAATAAAGACAAGTTAACTACGACTCTTCGCAATCAAACTCTCATCCACCATCTCCAATTTCATCTTCACCTGGATTGTAATCTTCGTTCAATAAAGAAGTTGATATCGATTATGGATCAGATTTTTCGAAACGACCAAGAGGGGTCAAAAAAGCCAAATTGAAGAAGAAAATCGATGAAGACACTACTGCTTTGCTAAAAAGTCTGTTAAGAGCAACAATGAGCAACTTATAGAGATGTTGAAGAAATCATCGTTAGATAGACAGGAATAATTGGAAATCCAGCGACAAAATATGGCATGTAAAGAACAGAAGAGAGAAGATAAAATTATATTCATGGATTTGAAATCTATTGACGATCCACAAGCGCGAGCGTATCTCATTATAGAAAGATCAAGAATTTTACAAAAAAAATCTCAAGAAGGAGGCTCATCCGTTGGATTCAGTGATGTCAATCGCGCGCTATAGCGCCGCTATAGCGGTGGAACGGAGCGGAGGAGAGGTCTGGCGCTACTAGACCTCCTGTAGCGGACTTCACGGTCGCTATAGCCGGGGCGCTATACAGGTAGAGGCGGACGCTATAGCGCCGCTTCTTGCGATCGAAGGTCTGCAAGGGTTTTTCTGCGTTTATTTTTTTACTACGGAAGGACAGGGCAAAGTAGACTTTTAAAACTAAATAGGAACCAACTTAAAACCCTTGTACATACGCAGAAGTGTAGAACCCTTAAAAATGGCTCCATGTTTTAATAAATCCGTATGACTTCTCTTCTCTCTGTTCTGGATGAGCTCTGCGTCAACAAATTTTTCTGCTCCATCTATTTCAAGAACGACCTGTGCTCCTTCATCTTGTACAAGAATGACACATGCTACACTCCTCTTTGTTTCTTTCCAATGGTAGACTGATACACTATTAATTTATCAAGGCTTAAACCAGGAACTTGTTTTTGATTCAATGTTTTGACTTAGATGTTTTAATCATTAATAGCATCGTATGTTTTGCTCATGAAACTAAGGAATATTTCCCAGTAATTTAGGATTTAAGAATGTTAAGATGTTTGCAACTTTAAGAGAATCTTCAATGCTAAAACGTTAACGGTGCATACGTGACATGAGAGATAGCCAATGAAAAAACAATAAATAGAATATCTCTCTCCTTATTTGAAGGATCTTATATCATTTTGGTAAGTTTTTCTTCACAATGTCAAGCACAATGTCTACATCTTTTGTGGTTGACATTGCAGGGAAAAACTTACCAAAAACACATAAGACAGTGGAAAGACGGAGAGAGAAATGTCATAAAATCAATCTTTTGTGTCTATCTCTCTCATGCCACATGTGCACCGTGCACATTGTAGCATTGGAGATGCTCTAAATGGCATATATCATACTTTACAAATGTGTATGTAATGTAATTACATGTTTCTAGTTAATTATGTATTATACTTAAAAGTAGTCTGAATAGCGGCTATACCGCTATAGCGTTTTCAAGGCTGGCCGCTCCGCTCCGCAATCTGGGATTGACAACACTGGTTGGATTTGGGAATCTATTTGACAGTCTTAGAGGGTCTGGAAGCGGGTTGAGTGACTACTAATTTCTAACTTAGTATGTATTATGTAAGATTTTAATAATGTTGTTTATTATTTTAACGGTGTTAGTAATTGTAATTTTAATTATGTTATTTTCTTTAGTATCATTTGTATTCTGTTATTATGATATTTCGATTTGAAAAATTATTTATAATATTGTGTGATTTAAATTTTATTATATTTTTTATCAAATTTATAATTTAAATTTGTTGTTCTAAAAATGGGTTATAACTATAATAAACAAAATTTTGGGTCACTTTTGAAAAAAGAAAAAATAATTTGAAAGAAAGATGGGGCATCACTATCTTGAGCCAAATATGGCATAAAGAAAACCCCTTACACTATTTTAGTGAAATGGGGCAGCATTTGGTTTAACAGTTTGGAGCAAAAAAAAATGTCAAATCCCCTGTTTTGGTGGAAGTTTTGGCCATCGTTGAGATGGCCATAATAGAATTACCTCCTACATACTCCATAGCAGTGGCCTCGGGTACATCTCTAGCTCTTTTTCCGATCAACACGGCCAGTTCCACCTCATGATGCAGCGAATCCAATGGATGTGGTACCTCGATCGTGCCTCCATTTTCCAAATACGAAGACGTCGGCTTCAAAAACAGCACCGGCTCCTACATACACGGGCAAACCCACAAAATCAACAGCTTATATATGTAACAATAGTGTAGATAGATCGACACGGGCAAACCTTAGGGACGGCGTTGCCGAGCTCTTTGGCGTGAGCCACATAGTTACGGCCAACGGCGACTATCTTAGTGCCGACGCTAAGGAGCTTCTGAGCAGCTGACGGGGTGGTTGCCATCTTCTTGTGAGTAGCTTAGGTGATAGTTACAGCTTGTTTGGGAATTTTTGAAGGGGATTGAATTACACTCCGGAATTAAATTTAACTCAACCCCTGAATCGCCGCTGCCCACTCTCACACCCGAGTTGCCGCGCCGCACAACCAGATCAAGGAGTTATGATCTCAAACACTACGAGTGAGAGTCTATAATGAATTCCCACACTCAAGAATTAAATTCAATTCGTGATAGAAGGGCTCAAATTTCAATTCAATTCCTACACTCAAGATGTCAAACATCCCATTTCGCTGAACTAACACAAGGCTATTACTGATCTCAACTTTTTTCATTTTTAGTGCTGGATAATGGGCCAGGTACAAGAATATTGGCCCGGTACACCTGAGCTTTGGTCCCACCAAGTTCAAAACACAGTCCGGCTAATAGACACTGGTCCGGGATTATCGAATTACTTATCGGGTTGACTGGCCCATTAGCGTTAGTATTAGTTGATAAATCGGACCAAGCCCATGTAACATCTAATTGGTGGGCGTGTTGTATACGCCTATAAATAGGCCACCAACTCTTTGTATTCTGCTAAGCTATTCTCACTATACTGAAATGCTGTCGAATTCTCTACCCGGGTTATTTTCTACCAACATTGGTGCTTTCATTGAGAGTCATCTCTCAACTTTTTCGGTAGAAACTCGGAGAGATTCCAGCAAAAGAAAAAAGTGAAATTTGCCCTAGATAATTCATCACAATTTCTGAAAGAGGCTCACGGTTCATAGCAGTTACAATCAAGGAGGAAAAAAGACTGAAATTTCATATGGGGATTTTTGAGATCTGGAAATTAAATAAAAAAAGAAGCAGATCCGGAGAAATCCATAGAGCAGGAGCTGGAGGTGCGCCCGTCCGCTGTGGTAGCTGCCGCCGTTCAAGTTCCGGTCACCGTCCCTGATATATCGCGGCCAGATGGTCGCCGCTGTAGTTGGAGTCCGACTCCATCGTCGCCCTCGAAGTTGTGTCGTCCACCTTCGTTAGAGCAGTGACACTCACAAGTCATCCATCCGCTTCGGGCGCCGCTCGACGGTCATCCCTCCAGATCCGAGCCAGGGCCACCTCCGTGCGCCGTCACAGCTCCGCTCGCAGTTCACCCCAGGTGGCTTCGCTAGTGCATCAGTCCACGCAGTCGTGACCCTTTCCTCTCTCCAGGAGCGACGCTAGGATGATAGTCATAGCCGGAATCAGCGACCACTAAAGGGGTCTCAAGCAATGGCAGTGGGCTTCGTCAACTTCCGGGCCGCCGCACTGTGTTGTCGGCTCCGGGCCTTGTCCATGGCTTCACCAAGCCTGCCCTTCGTTCCCGGCTCCGAGCCTGCCCTTCGTTCCCGGCTCCGAGCCTGCTCTCCATTCCCAGCTCCATTTTTCCGCTGCTAGGTTTCGACAACACCTGATTCAGAGGGCAGAGAAGCTAGGCTCAGTGACTTTTGCTGGGACACATAGCTTGGAGTAATGGGCCTATAAAATAATACGAGTACTTCATGTTTGATTTCTATATGTGCCTACATAAGAGGGTCGCAATTGGCTGACATGACATGCACACTACCCGTGCGCCCGTACGCCAGTGCGCCCGTACGCTAGTGCGCCCGTGCGCTCGTACGCCCGTACTCCCATACGTCTGGTACTCTCGTACACCCTTGCTCCCATACGCCTATGCAACTGTACGCCTGTACACCTGTGCGCCCGTACGCCCGTACGCTAGTGCGCCCGTACTCCTGTACGCCTGGTACTCCCGTACACCCTTGCTCCCGTATGCCCGTGCGCCCGTACACCTGTGCGCCCATATGCATGTGCGCCCGTACGCCCGTACTCCCGTACACCTGGTACTCCCATACGCCCTTGCTCCCGTACACCCTTACTCCCACACGTCCGTGCGACTGTACGCCCGTGCGCCCGTACACCTATGCGCCCGTACGCAGTGCGCTCGTGCTCCCGTACGCCCGTGCTCCCATACACCCGTACGCCCGTGCTCCCGTGCACACATGTGCGCCCATACGCCAGTGCGCCCATGCGCCCGTGCTCCCGTGCTCCCGTACGCCCGTACGCCCGTGCTCCGTGCGCCCGTGCACCTGTACGCTCGTACGCCCTGCACATCAATAGAGCACCAAGTCAAAGATAGTTGAGCTCTGATTCAATCCTCTCTGACCAAGCATTGCATTCAGACCCAAGATACTTATTGGCGCCAACAAGTCATCACAGTCGCGTAGCATCGAGTGAGGATTATGCACGTTGTAGCTGTCACCGTGTACGACCTTATGCTCTGCGCTCCTGCGCCCCTGCACGCCTAACATGGTCCAATCGACAATTGGTGGGTCGGGTATCATCCGCGCGAGCCCCACTTGGCGTGGTGGATGCAGTGTCATGGTCCGGAGGTTTGGTTGCATGAGCCCGCCATGGCGAGACGGCCGCACGGTCGTCACCAGGATGCATGGTCTTACAAGCCCAACCCGGCGACGTGAGCATTCAGACACCGCCAAGAGGCTTCTTTGAACGGGCTCGAGTAGTTGAACATGATTAATTGAGGAGGAAGATGCCACAGACCTTCTGACGGCTCAGGTGGTCGACTGCGACTCACTGACGTACATGAGAGACCACGGTTGTACTCTTGCCCGTCAGAGAGCTCATACGTCGTGCACCCGTGCGCCATGAGTATGATCACTTAAAGAGGAGGATGACAAGAATTCACGTCATGGGCGAGTTTTCGTTCACAATGAACACTCGCACCAACAACCGGCAAATTGGGTACCCTTGCACGAGCCCGCCCTGGCGAGATGGCCACACGGTTGTCACCAGGAGGCTTGGTTGCACATCCCTGTCCCGGAGTGCATGTCCTAGACGATACCGGTGAAAATCACGCTGGCCAATCTCGTACGAGTCAACTCAAGTCGGTCCCGGTTTATCCAAAGGAAGTTAAGGGCTTCCCACACAATCCTACACCGAGGGAAAAACTCATCATGTCATCATGGTTGGACGGACCCCCTACGCGGGTTGACATCTCCAAAGTCCATCTCCACCTCGCTCCAGGTGCAGGGTGGGAGTGCCGTTGACGAGGGGGTACAGACCTTGCAACACAGAGTTGTTACATGAAGACCCGGAAGCATAGTTATCCAGGTCAATCTCAAGAGACCGGGACAAACGGCCAAGTTCAGTGCATGGCTTCTTATTGATCTTACGTGTTGAAGACCACGACGGACAAGCTTGTAGATCAAGTACGGAGCGCAAAGCACCTTGTCAAATCCTATGAGCGGAGCATACCAAGATTGTGATCAAGCACGAGGTGCAAAACTCGGAGCAACTCCTCCAGTTCCAAAATTCTTTCATTAAAAAAATTCAATCTAGAATTTAATGAGGTCCGACCTCACTTGAAAATGAACGGGCGGCGGCCAAAAAAAAACTATAACGCCCCGCTCTCGGTGTTTAGTCGACCACGGCTCGATCCTCGGTCAAGGAAATGATCAAACTATTTTCTAAGTCTAGGATTAGCTGCTCGGTCAGGGCGACCGTAAGACCGGCCCCTAGGTCGAAAAGGTATGCGAGAGGTCATGCCACGAGCCCCTCTCGTATATCTGTTGTCCGATGTTGCTGTCTAAACAGCTCGCATACTCGTTTGATCCAATCAATGGTGCGGCGACTATATGACCGGTCTTCATGCCGAAGGTATGCGAGAGGTCATGCTCCGAGCCCCTCTCGTACATCCGTTGTCTGACGTTGCTAGGTTTAATAGCCCGCACACTCGTTTGATATGGTCAGCGGTGTGGGTCCGTTCTGGTCTGATCATGCAGGGTCTCGCCCTTACGTTTGGCCGACTTCAGTTTGACTTCCAAAAGGGGATAACAAGATTTTTCCTAATTATGAAACTAGCTGTACAAGTCAAGGTGTAAGACCGGCCTCCGGGTCGAAGGTATACGAGAGGTCGTGCCCCGAGCCCCTCTCGTACATCTGTTGTCTGACCGTTGGTCAAACAGCTTGCACACCCATCAGTCCTAGATCGATAGTGTGCGGGTCAGCCCCGCCTTACCAAGCAGGGTGCGGTCAAGGTCGGCCCTGGCAACCTGCCGCCCCTCACGGCCTAGGTGGGGATCCAGATCCCCGATTAGTTCTCTAAGTATTCTTGAATGAAAAACGGCTAAGTAAATTGAAAGAACAAATGATGCATACATGCAAGCTCAAGCAAAAATCAATCACAGAGAACAACTCCAAGATCATCATTGCCCGAATTTCTTCGCCTCATCACAGGTAGTCTGCATATCATATCAGACAATTGCAACCCTCCTTGTTCCGCAGCTAACCTCGGATATACTCCGGACACCGGTCTTCAATCCTGGAAGTGACGAGCTCCGAAAACTGTAAGGGGCTTTGAACAAAGCAACTGCCTCATCTCCTACATCCCAGTACCTCTTGCATGCCAAACGAGACATCCTCGCATCACGACAGACCCCTCGGTCTCAACGTGATTATTTATCTGAAGACCGGACTCATCCTCTCACTTCATGGATGAAGACCGTTGCGTGGATTTCCGGACCGGCCCCTCAGTGGCGACATCCTTGCATCACGGCAGATCCCTCGGTCTCAATGTGATCATTTATCTGAAGACCGGCCTCATTCTCTCACTTCATGGATGTGGACCGTTGCGTGGATTTCCGGACCGGTCCCTCAGTGCCAACGTCCTTGCAAGTCGGAGTAGTATTGGTTGAAGAATTCCTGTCGGAAATTCTCCCAAGTTACGACCTCACTATACTTCCCCTTGACACCGTCCCACCATGTGGACGCCATCCCTTCTAGCAACCTCGTTGCTACTCTCATCTTCATGTTTGGCGGCAGCTGCATATCAAGGGCCGCTTCATTGAACCTCTTGATCCACTCCGCCGCAACGGATATATCTCATGTTCCATCGAACGGATTACACCCCAAATCTCTTGCTTCCTTGAGGTACTTCGAGATCCTTATTATCGGGACCTCGACACCTCGATCTACTCGGGACTCTACATGTCCCCTAGAACCCGCATGGCTTCCCCTTCTTGAAGCCCCTCCCAAAGCACGCCTTGTCCGGCGCCTTTGGCGATCCTGTTGAAATTGACGGAGTAGTTCCTCCATCCTTTCCAGAGCGTCATCATCGTCGCTCCCCTCACTAGCATCATCATACTCCCCATCATATGGGGTCTCAACCGGCTCAATTCCCGGTTGATACGTCGAATCCTCCTCGGACTCATAGGACTCGTTGACTGTTTCAACATAACTGTCACTCACGGTCTGATCTTGGCCTCCACGGCCCTGTCCTCTGGACAC